AGCTCGTAAAAGGATATCGCTGGCGCCAGTTTCTGCGTGTCACACCTCGAACACATCTGAGCCGGGAACTGCGGGCACACGACTTCCTGGTGCGTTAGTCACGCTCGTTAATGCTTCGCGTATCGCCAGATGAATTTAACCCCTTCGGAGCCACCCTCCATTGTCTTCGTACGCGTTCAGACAATACGTATTCCGAACCGGTGTCCCTAATCGCTGACGTGAATGGTAATACTTGGAAAAGGGAACCTCCAGGATAAAATAGACAATTATAAAGGTATTATTAAGAAATATTGTTCATAATTTTCTTTACCTTCAGCAACGTAGCAATATTTATTTAAACATTTTTTAGTTTCACTTCTCACGACTAACGTCTTCTATAAATTCCATATATAGACATGACTATTATAAATTCATATTCCCATCGAAATGATAATTATCTATGACTACCATTTTCGTAGATAATTTGTAATTATATTAAACACAGGAACTTGAGACGTACATGGATCTTTGATAATCTTCGTTTTCTTCGTCCTCTATACAGGGTGTCTCGGAATTTGTGCAAGAACCGGAAATGGAGGGGTAGCTGAGACGATTCTGAACCACAATTTCCTTTGCAAAAATGTTGTATCGTTCTTCGTTTTTTAATTATTAACGAAAAAACCACCGACCAATCACAGCGCCCGAGTTGCACGCGCTCAGCCGCGAGAGCATAGGCTCGAGCCAGGATTGGCTGGTCTACAACAGGTCACGGCGGGCGCTGTGATTGGTCGGTGATTTTTCGTTAATAATTCGTAAACGAAGCACCATCCGACATTTTTGCAAAGGAATTTGTGGTTCAGAATCGTCTCAGTTATCCCCCATTTTCGGTTCTTACACTAATTCTGGGACACTCTGTATATATCTTATCAACGTCGAACGTTAAAATTCGTCAAGATTATTATTATTCGTTCATCTGTAATAATTTTATAATAATTTTCAGAATACATCGTACGTCGCGAAATCTATTCCAAGAAAGCATGAATTAAACGCCGGCAAATATTTGAATAGATATATTTTCGAAGGCCAGCGCCGAGCGACATAATTAATGATTTACAAGAAAACGAGCGCCGAGTAATTTTCCAAGTCGCAGTCGCGACAGGGATCGAGCTCTTATTACTTTCGTGTTGAACGGAATGGGTAGAAAAATGTGTTCGCGCCAACGTGGCATATAGATTTCAATTCTTGTTATTTACAAACCATCTCGGTGCTCAGCGTGCGTCTCGAGATCGTAACGATCGTCAGATGCTAATCGGTAATTAACCCGCGACTTTTATCGATATCCATCGTCGAAATCACTTTTCCATGAAGGTTAATCGATGCCGACGGAATGTGGATAACGCGTTGGAAATTTATTACTGTATGGCAACATAGAACTCCTTCGATTCGTCGCTCCAAGTTCTACGAGTAAATTATTTAGAGATCTGGCGGGTTTCATTTTTTTTTTATAAATAACTTTCGGTTGTTGTCTTGGTTTTCTCGAAATTAAAATCGATCGAAATCTTGACATATTTATTCCGCGAAGCGAACAATCGAAAGAAACCGTTATCGACTACGAGCACTCCACGATTCGCCTTATATTTTCGAAACGACACTTGGAGAAGTATAAACGACGAAATGGAGGAGATAGTTATCGACGACTTAGAAAGTTCCCCCCCCTCCCCTGACAACGAGGTGGAGATTCGCGATTTACGAGCCCCTGGACGTCGTAAAAACATCAAGCTATCGGAGACGAAACGTTTCATGCGGAGATTATAAACAAAATTTACTGCGCGCGTTAAGGTTTCAGTCTCAGATGCGAGGGAATCGGCGTAACGGCAGGTCGAGTTAATTGCAGGGCAAAGTACGCGACTTTCCTTCGCCGTGTCGCGAAAACATTGATATATTACGGACGATAAATTAACGAACTCTTTCGTGGTCGTGTGAACCGCGCGAGTCGCGTTCGCGCTCGTAAAACCTGCCTTGTTACGGAGATGGGCAATGTTCTTATCTGGATACGCGAAAAATTGTTTACTCGTTGAATAGAAAGAAAATTTGAATCGTGGGACAAAACGGAGAAGTAGAAAGCTGCAGAACACGTGCCAGTTACTTTAGATATTTTACAAGTTTTCTCTTTCAGTTTCAATTTAAGAGATTATCGTATTACTCGAGAAGCTACGGTTGCTATTGTAATTAAAACTGCGTCTATCGATAGGTAATTGAAGTGTTCGAAAATCCTCCTGGATTTGAATGAAAACTCAAAGTTCGATGGAACAGTTGCACGAGTCTAAAATTCCTTTTTCGTTGAATTTCTTATATTCTAAGCTGCGAATACGTTTTATCCCGAGAGTTCTTTACTAATAACGCGAGTACAGACTGAGCGTAAAAGGGTTAATAGGAACGGTGGTCGGTCGTTAGCGCGAGGAATTCGCGGCGTAATTGCGAGGCGAATTCTTTCTCGGAGAGATTGCCTGCTCTATTCGAACGCTATCAGCCTTGGTCGCATTTTTTCAGAAAGATTCAAGAGCCAGTTCGAAGCTGGCACGACCTTCGGACCGCTGCTACGAAATTCGTCGTTAACTGTACAAATCAATTATACACACAATTCGGAGTTGGTTCAAATAATAAAGCCTGCTGCGTGTCTGAACTTTACTAGCAAAAAAGTCGAATGTTTTGATCGCCGTAACAGGTAAGCCACGGAGATTATTCAATTCACGAGTAATAAAATCCAAAGTCTTCTGCGGTCTCCATGGTCCTCTCACGGAACAGTCTCATAAACAAACGATTCGACGCATCCCTATTACGAAAACGTAGTTTACAGCCGAAAATCATCTCCCTGTCGACTTTATGGTTTCGTCCACCGGGTAGCCATCGATCGCGAGACCACCGACCCAAACTTCTGGATCCGCGACGATCATTTTTTCCCCCTCGTACATCAACGCCGTGATTGGCCTCAGAAAATAACTCGGAGCCGAGTTATTCTCGACTCGAAGGCCGCGTGCTCGTTCCGCGGTGGCACAATTGCACAATCGCGAATCCCGTCTGATCGAGCCAGGGTAGCCTCTCATTTTCCCTCGTCCACCCCCTGCTACGTCGGTTTTCCCATGGATATCGCTGGCTTTCCCGGCGTGCTGGCCGCGCCGCGGTTTTTTCGCAACGTTGTTAGATCTAACGATGCCGATACCGCTTGTGCAACCGATCGGTAACAGGTTCTGCCGCGGCAGATTCCTCCATGCCGGGCTGTTATTAAAAACGAGGAAAGGATACGTACAAATCACCGTGACCGTAGAAGGCACGGGTAAAAAGCTGTTGGGCACACACGTGGCCGTAAATAGCCGGCCGGCTCGCGCAAACCGATCGATCGGCGATCGACGCGCGATAAAGTATCCTTTGTTGCGGTCTCCTGACGTCTCCGCGGGTGCCGAGGATCGGTGGAGCCAGTGGTAGATGAAGGATGAATCTTTGAGAAATTATGCAGATGGTAAGTGGATGAATGGAAGTCCTAGATTTTAGGTTGTTTCCCAGTGAAATCGATCCTCGTGATGTACGTTGCGACGGTGGTCGAAGTAAGGAGGTTTCTCCTTGTTTAGGAAATAAGCTCACCGAAGAGGACTAAGGTGTATGCTTTTTAGTATCCCTTAGACAAGGGGAAACTTTTTCGTCTCCATCGTCGTTGTGGGAGGGAACAGGATTAATCCTGTGACAAACAGATTTGGATTATTAATCCACTTGCTGCTTGCACACTCAAAGATAAATTCTCCACAGTACCTAAATCTTTATCAATGATTTTACAAATCCTCAGCACTCGTGGATCCCGACTGAACAGTAGCAAGTAAAATCTACAGAAAGAATCTACAGAAATCTTACTAAAAGAAAGATGAGATGAATGAGCTTGGAAAGGTCGTTTTTAAAAGTTCTTTGTTCGCGCTATGTAAATGATACTTAAATGCTATTCGATAAGCTACCGCAAAGAATCCTCCTTCGACTGATATCGTTCCTAACGTGTATTTATTTGTTGAATATTCAACAGACTTATGAATTACAAATATTCTCGAGCAACGACTCGCATGTGTATGCTCGGATTGTGTTAATCTTAAATGAAAACATCGAACAAATATCGATCAACACTTCGGAGCTAGTTTTGACTCGTATTTTTATTTTTTTAACGCGGCAAATGCAATCCGTATTTTGTTTGGATTTTGAGAGAGTACCAAATAAAAAAATTTCTGTCTTTTGGGGTCAATGATCTTTTGCTGTCGTCACGTGACGCGGCGCGGGATAATCATAATCGAAGCATGCTGCCATCTCGCGACGCAATCTCGTACCATACAGCTAGATCTCTCGCTTTCTTATCAACGCGTATCACTGTAATTCGAAGATACATCGATGCTCGTGTTTCATCGTTTCTCGACTCACGACTGATTCGATATTTCGAGCCTGCATAATCTCTGTACTCGAATACTCTTATAAATAAATACAATCGAAAACAATTACAAACGAGAAAAAAATAAACGAGGACAAGTTTAAAGTGAAAGTACCAGAGGTCCTAAGTACCAATACTGAACAGATTGGGATTACAATGTCCCCTTTTTGAACATTAAAGCATAGCTTGAACGAGAATTTAAAACACCAATGTAAAAAGTGATAATTTCAAGGCTGAGTCATTTGATACGAAATTAGACTGGAAAAGTTCTTTTCCATTTAACGTTAACGATCGTAATTTCCATTTTCCAAGCTTATTTACATTTTAAATTTCAAACCACGTATACTTTTATTTCCCAAAACGACCAACTACATACTCGAATAATCATTCCTCTGCTTAAACAATTCCCATGCATACTTATACAATGGTGAACTTTAATTTTGTAGGAGCTGTTTTTAAATCTATCCTTTAATATTTTAAATAAAATCTTTTCTTTGAAATTTTATTTCGACACTTCGGGTTCTCTGTTATTTCCACTTTAAGAGCGGAGAACGGAACTCACCTTTTTGCGATGCGGACAGCAAGACGACGCGTTGCCCATGATTTCCGGAAGTCTTCGACCGCGTCCTCAAACACGTGCACCACGTCCGTCGGCTGGCGACGCCTCGACGTTGGCTTTTTGAGTTTTCGCCAAGCGAACGACTCTTCCGTTCGTCATCGTCTCGCCGAAACCTGCTCCGAGAAAGTTGCCGTTTATTATCGCGGTATTTAAGCCAGCTGGTCCATCGAGAGTTCAGTCACCTCCTGTGATCGGCGGAGGATCGCGATCGTTTCGCGAAAGAATCTTCGAACATTCGCGAGACCATCAACCGTCCTCGATCGTCAACTTTGTTCGAGATAGTCGAATCCAATGTTCGAGATGACTTTTCATTGACCCGTTCACTTCGCGAATCGCGAATTCTCACGTTTCGATTTCGAGACCGATTTTTCCGATCGCGTAGGCGCGCGGATAACTGGGAGTTACGGTAAAATAACCGCAAGAAACTGAAGAAGCCTTAGTAACCGAGAGGAACGAACGAGTTGACAGTAATGCCCCGATAATATGGATTACCGTCCCTCGGCATCGCGGCTCGTGGAAATATAAAGTTTCCACGTCGTCCAACATCCCGAAGCCAGGATCGATCGAGTCCAGGGACGGGACAACATTTATTCCAACTATGGATCGCGAGCAGAAACACCCTGTAGCGATTTATATTTTTTAAAGCTTTTCTTTAAAGTTACTCACAACTTCCCATATTATATTACTGGTCAGTAGATAATTTAGAATTCAATTGTTAATCGAAACAATAAAATACTGCAGACGCTGTTAAAAGTATGGAGCAATTATTTGGATATCATTTAATAGAATGGTTGATTACAGTCCCATAAGTATTCGTAGCCTCTATGTCTATCGAAGTAGTTTGCCTGAATTAAATGATAGATTTTATGTTTTCAAATAAATGTTCCATTATGGATATGTACATGAATACACGCCACACACGTATATATTCATAATAAAAATTTATTTGGAAACATCAAACTTAACGTTTAATTTAGACAAATTTCTCGAATAAATATAGAGGGTATTTAGATAATCGAGTAACTTGAACTATTTGAGTACTCGAGTATTCCGGTACTCGAGTTCCTTCGATCTGTTCGTTTCTCTAACCCAAGTACATTTTTATACCATTTGCTCGCTGGCTAATAGCAGTCAGTTACGTTTCGGTAGCATACCTATTTACCTATGTATTAGCAGAGCGAACTATTTAAGAATGTTCGGACAAGGTTCACCCGGTTGCTCGAGTTCACGGAATAAAAAGGAAACTCGGTGCCGTTTCGCGCTAAATTAAAAAAGCATTCCCGAGCAGCACGTCAGATTCTATTTTCGACTCGGGCAACCTCTTGACACTCATTAGCGTTTTCAAGTTCCCGCGTCGGGAGGTCGAAACCGTGGCCTTATCGCGCACAGCGAACGCTAACGACCGCTTCTTGCATTCGCGCTCGCCGATGACGTACGTACGAAGCGACGGGAGGGAAATGGGCCAGAAACGCGACACAACCGGCCATGAGCAACGATTCGGAACGAATTTCAACGGAATTCACCGAGTTAAGGATCGCTCCTCGAAAAGGAGAAATCATCGCGCGGGTCAACGAACCCGACTCGTTCGAACTTTAAATGAGATGCGGGCAAAAATGATGTATTTCTTTCCGATACCATTGGGGTCGATTCGTAAATGACTTTTTATATACGGTCAGTCCTGTAAGTATTCCTCTCTATGCCTAGTGAAGAAATTTGGCTAAATTAAATGACAGACTCGACGAGTCCAAATAAATGTTTCGTTATAATTATATATACATGAATAAACTTTACGCATACAGTATCGTCTCGAAATAAGCAACACGGTCGGGACCGTCGAGTTGCTTATTTCGAGGGAGGTATGGTATTCGGCTTGACTTTATTCTGGAGCGAGACGAGGGGAAACCCATAGAAAAAGCAAGGGGTTCGGTATAGTGGCAAGTTACGTACAACTAATAGTATTACACATGTTCTGTGCTCTTTCCACTAATCTTCAAACAAAAACGTGGGGATAGTTGATTATTTCGAGACAATACTGTATATATATTTATAATGAAACATTTATTTGGAAACATCAGATCTATCATTTAATTTAGACAAACTTCTTCAATGAACATAGAAGGTTCGAATATTTTTGGGATCGATTGCATGTATTTATAATGAAATTATTTACTTGAAAACGTGAAACCTATTATTTAATTTAGGTAAATTTGGGAAATTGACATGTCTGAAAGGTTTCTTAAGAAGAAGAGAACTAAAAAAATCGATTAAACCAAACTCTACTCTTCCCACGGAAGCCTCACCTCTTCTACGTTAGCTCGAATGGCATTGCTCTCGTAAAAACACAGTTTACGGACGGAAAGATACATTTTCCTCGCACTGGTGAACTTCACATCAGGGTCAACGTTTGTATCCGGTCGAGGAACGGCTGACGAGACAAAAAGTCCGAAGAGGAATTGGCGGGAAACCGGCGCGACTTTCGAGCAACGAGTTTTCGAACGTTTGGGTCGCGGGTCGAGCCGATTTGCACCCGGTCGAAGTTTTCCCAAAAACTGGCTCCCAAAATTCGAGGAAAGTTCCTTGTTACACATACGCTGGCCGTCCGCTATCACGTGTTTACGCGTCCGCCAGCACACGGTACCAATATCCATACGAGTCACCGCTTTATTTTCCACCGTTACATCACTGTCGTCAGCGTTTCGCCGCCTCCCGTCGCGATAGTGCGCGCAGTTTATCGAAACGCATCGAAGTAACAATTTAAACGGCTATTGGGAGTTTCGCGCGACTCCTCCGTCCGTGGCCCGGCAATTTCCACCTTGGCATTCCGATTCGAGATTCGACACACTTTATTTACAGAATGGAAATCTCGTAGGGAAACTCGAAAGCTAGATTACAGATGACTGTGAAGTTTTTCATGGAAATATTTGGAGTGATGTTTTTATTCGAAATATAATTTGTTCAGCTAACGAGGTTCGTCAGACCTTGAGTTGAAGGAATTCGGAATACGGATCGATGAAACAATGTAAATGCAGTTTCAAATGGCACTGAGGAATCTCTGATTTCCATATGAATTCCACGTCGCGCGTTGTAAATGTCCGAGCAAACGAGAGACTGTGAATAAATGATAATTTTAAGTGTTTCGCATTCCACTTTGCCGTGACGTTATTTTTGAAGAGTCTATCACATTCGCAGTTGTTTAACGATAGGTTTTGCCGAGGAACGCGAATGCCACTTTATTTTTGTAGGAAGAGTATCGCGATAGTAACAGTAACGATAACAAGCATAAGACATTCCTAAGCTCGAGAATTACGAACAATTGTCACTTTCATCGTACCCGGTACCTTTTGCAGACTCGTACACCTTCTTGTAACCGCAGTAAGAGGCTGTTGAATGAGTAAACGAAACAAATTTAGAGGCAGTCGACGATTCGACCTCGTTAGCGCGAAATTTGGGTCAGAGAATCGATTCACACACGGCAGGAATAGCTTTTGACAAGTTTGACACTCGAAAGTGGACTGTGGTTGTCGAAGAAACCGAAAGTATTCATTTGCCTTTGATACGCGTAGAGTTTATTACGACGGGAGGACTTGCGATCGCGTTGTTTCTCATAACTGAGAGTAGGTGCATCTCGCTGCAATTTGTTGACAACGTATTTTATTATCAAGAAAGCACGGATACACTGAATTCCATTTTTCACTCGTAAAATATCGAAAAGAATTGATTATTAAAGCGAGGATAATATTCACAGATTGGAAAATGAAGGATAGACCTGGCCGGGGGTTGAAATTGTAAATCTGGAAAAGAAGACGTGAATTTCACACTGGTTTTCAACAAAGTAACTTATACAACAGAAGTAACGTTCACAACTTTGAGAATCAAGGATGTATCGCGGTAAATAACGAAGAAACTTCAAATTTGAGAAGCATACAACCTTACAGCTACGAAATTTTAATCCCGGAATCGATTCGTACTCTAGATAAATCTTCTCCCATCTTGTTCCTTATATTCGCGATTTTCGAAGCACGGGATCGATCCAAGCAGCGCGAATAATCGCATTATCCTTGCGATTATCTTGAGTTATTTCAAGGCGTCCTCCGCCGACGACGGACAGCTAGAAACGCGAGTTTGGAGCGGATAGACGGTTCGTTTATTGTGGAAATTTCTCGAAACACTCGTGAATGTCTTTGGAAAGTTGTCGTTTCGCGCCCTTTGACGATTCGAGCCGCGGAGAACGCGAGGACGACTGGAATCGCGAAGCGCTCGAAACGTAACTGAGAGTGGCCGGTCGCGGTTCATTCTCGCGTGGCACGTGTTGATCGTAAACACTCGCTTGCGTCATCGAGAGTCGCGCGGGGAAACTCGTTTTGTCAATGAAGCGACAGAGCGCGCGGAAACTGAGAAGCTGGTAGCTTCCGTGGTAGCTAGAAGCCGAGAGTATTTTCGTGTCAGCCTCGAAGCACACCGAGAATAAACTCCACGGAAACTTAAAGAAATAGCGACGAAACGTGTCCGATGTCATTCGAGAGGTTATTTAGGGGGATACTACTCCAAGTCCCATCTGAATCGGTCCAGGCGATTAGGTTCTAAAAAAAGTTAGTTTGCTTTTAATTCTTTTTTTTTTTTTTGTATTTCTGACGAGCTCTGTGTGCAATTACGAATGAAACAGATAGCAAATCTGATGTAACATCGATAAGGCTCAAACTGTTCGAAGAACAATTCCCCATTCCTGGGGCATATCAATGAAACAATAACTCGATACAATTAAAATTGAATGCTAGCTTGTTTATGTTGGAACAAGAAATCGGTAGATCTATTCCGCTTTTTACTGATTGACTTGCGAACCTTTGGACGATGACTGCAATGCATTCGTGCCGGTACGGACGTTTTTTTTTTGGAACCAACGTACGCGAAGACTGCACATTCGAGATGCAGCCGTTTTTCTCTACACCTTTACGAACGCGCGCACTCGATAACGCGATTCTACTCGTTCCACATCTTTATCGTTGGAGCGTTCCACTTGAACTCCATTTACCAAGCAATATCGCGAAAAAACACAATCTGCACTTCTTTTTTAGCACAACTGAACCGTAACGGGCTCGCTTAAAACCTAATCAAGTAAACTATTTCTATACTCGTCGATCGCAGCTGACTTGTTGAGAAAATCCCACTTCTAACTCCTTAAAACAAGATAAACTACCATTAAAAAAATGGTTTAACCATAGATTCAAACTAAAAATAAAATATTCAAACGAGATACCACCGGTCTCCGTACCCTTCAACTGAAATTTCGAAGCGCCATTTTAAAAAGCAACGGTAAACAATTCTACTTGCACTGTTATATCGGAATGTATTACTGTTATTTCGTTGTTCGAAATAATATTTTACCCAGCTCTGTAATCAAGCCGCAGCGTTTAATTTCCCAAGGATGCCGAGGCGGAGAACGGGCGCACGCCGATGAAAGCGCGAGATTAAAAAGCACCGCCGGGCGAGCACGTGTCTCGCGCGTATTACCGGCGTTCACGTACGTAATCTTAGAGAGCCAGGAGGAGACTGAAGAAAGCAGGCTCTCGGGGCCTCATTTTTCGCAATGGCGAACGCGATCGTCGCGTCGTTTCTTATCGCCGCGACGCCTGTAAACATTGCTTGCGTCACCGTCGTCGTCGTCGGCACGCAAACCACGTCGATTCCTCGAAAAATTGCTTCGTCCTCGAACCGACCCCATTCCAATCGAGCCTTCCTGTTCTAAGCAACTCTTCCACTCTGGAAGGTCTTATTATCAATTCTAGCTCTCAAATACCGTTGAGTTTGGTCAAAATTTATATATTACATTTGTTGATGCATGTTTTGGGAACGCACGTATCTTTTTTTTAAATATTAATCCTTTCAACGTGGAGTCTTTTTTATAGTACATGCATCACCATTAA